AAAAAAAAAAAAAAAGATGCGAGGGGGGGGGGGGGGGGGGAGGGCAGAAGGGTGGGTGTCTGTTGTTTGTTGTTTGGTTCTGGTATTTTTTTTAAAACAAACCCCAAATAGCGGTTTGATTCTGCACAGCTCTGGGCCATTACAAAACCTTCTGCACTGAGCACAGGGCTAGATTTTCTTTTTCGTTGTTGTTGTTTGTTTATTTTTCTTAATTATGCAAATCTACTTCCCACACAGCCATATTTTAAACTGAAATAAACTCCCTAATATTTTCATGGCATAAATTATATATGCAGAGAAAGGCAACAAATAAAATGTTGTATAAATTAGAAACTAGGACATATTGTAGACTTGCTCAAGACCTTTTTCTCCAAAGTACTGGTAGTGAGCAGAAAAGTCATGCAGCTTATCAGTAAAACGAGTAAATATTTTTGCCATTTTTCTTCAGTGCTCATTTTAAGTTTGTTTTTTGGTTTGGTTTTTTTTGGTGTGGTTTTTTTTTAATGTCTGTGTTCTCAGTCCTCAACTTGCTATTTCTTGCACAAAGACTGGGAAAAATTATTTTTTTTGACCAGCATTCTTACACAACATGTTGAACCCTCAACAAAGGAAACACAGAACTAGCACTAAAGTTCTCTCAGCTAAAAGATGGATATATTAAAATAATAAAAAAATAAAAGGAAAAAACCTCTGCAAATAAAAAGAAACCTCTCCTCATTTGGGACATACACATTTAGCTTTTAAAAACTGAAAATTCATAAATACGGTCACTGTATAACTTTAGAGAATTAAGGCTTCTAAAAACTTCAGTGCCAAAATAACCTCTCTGCATCAGTATTAAGAATAAAATATTTTCCATTTTAGGTTGTGCTTGCCTTTTTTTTTTTTTTAAAGACTTTTCTTAGTTTCGTAGAATTTTGTCACATAATATTACATACTGAAGGGGAGTGTTAGAACTGCTTATTGAGGTTTTAAGTAGTTGTTAGACTAAGTTACAGCGATAAAAGTCGATTACTGATCTGATTCATTACTACTTTACATGGGGCGGCTGGCTCATTTCACCTTTTTTTCATGCTTAATGTGGCCATTTCTTCTATACTTGCCATTCGGTATCCCATTCTGGTAATGTCCATTAACAGCGCTATGTTCGTCATTTGACCAAAGATGTTTGCTTTGTTTGCAGATAAATTTTGTTATCCTGGCCAAAATATAATAAAGTAAGGCAGCACCCACTAGTACAACAAAGGCAATATCCAGTAAGAAATACTGATATAAAGAGATGCTGTAAACAGCAGCACGTAGATGTTGGGCTCCGTTGTGACGGAGGATGTAATTAATCCAGTATACAGTCCGGTTAACAGGATGACCAGGTTGGTCTTTGTGAATCTCAGACAGCCTCTGGGCCCGCTGTCGGTAGCTGTGGGGAAGAAAAAGAAAGAAAAGGGAAGAAAGGAAAAATCCGTCATCAGCGCTCTGAGTAATGCAAGCCTGCAAACACGTTAATATACTTAAGCCTCTTCAGATCAAACAGCGTATTACCGCAGGACTCTCGTAACCACCAGCATACAGAGGGCTAGGCTCGGCAGATAATCTGTCTTTAAATCAGTCGTTACAGCTCATTGATGAAGAATGACTAGAAGAGCAGACCCGTGTGTGACTAAAGGCAGAAATCCACCCTCCAGCAAAGCGATGAAGAGCCAAGCTGACCTGCTGCCAGAGGGGAATCTTATCTAATCCAAAATGAATCCTATCCAGTGAGACAGATTTGCCCTTCCCACTGTAAAGTGGCAACATACCCTGTCTAACACACCACTCACTTATGTTATTGTGCAACTGAATTACTGAAGAAAACACAGAACAAAGCAAGAAACTCGTTGACTACACAACAGACTATTTCTGCTTGGGTCCAGAGTTCAGCCTGAAACTTTTTTTTCCCTCAACAGGCCAACCCCAGCAGTTGATCATGTCTAATTCCGTCTCTCCCCCTCACCGCAGCTGCAGGGTCAACAGGTTATTTATGCAGGACTTGTCTTTACGCTAAGGATAATTGCACAAGGGAAAGATGATGCAACTGGTGTTATCGAGATCTCTTTGGTGACATGGCCCTTTGCTGCGGTTCTGCTGCTCGCTCCTTACAGGTTTCTCCTTTCCCAAGGTAAGCAACGCTTAGTGACTTTGCTCTCATGAAAGCAAGAAGTACTGTTGGCACTGTACTCCAAAATACAGTTAGCCCGATACAATAAACCACCAGCTAACATGTCATTATTTCTGATCTGGAGATGGTCTGAACATCACAGATGTTTAAAAGAGAAAAGTTCAGAACAAACTGGTGAAGCGACTCTCCTCAGACTTTAATATTCCTGAACAAACTCGTTTGCTGGAATTAGAAAGAGTTATGAAACCCAGTTCATGGGCTTTTACTTATTCCACCTGAGTAACAAAAAAAAATTTACAACAAACAGACCAGAGTCCTCCTATTCATAATAATTTGTTAGAATATTGTCACGGCAACAAACACAAACGACCTTCCTGACCTTAAGAGAGGTATTACTGGCCAGAACAGGAAAAGAGTAGTTTTGTTTTGTTTTTAAATCCAATCATGGAACTTTAGAAAAGAGTCACTCTTTTTTAATACCTCCGTGTTTTCAGGTACGATCCAAACATGCCACCCTACAATCGTATAGGTGTATTTTGCCCCAGGCCCCTTAGGCAGCACAACAGACAGACTGCTAAATATGGAGTAATCAAGACACGCACAAAGAGACGTTGGGCTGCGACAAGGAATAAGCCAGGACAGGTTTGTTTCTATAACCTTTCTGCCCTGCATATGGCAACTGTCACAAAAAGCAAATTAGACAATTGAGTGCTTAGTGCCTACACGGAAACCTGACCGATGGAGTAATCTTGTGAAATGGGACAACCATCCAAAGACTTGCCCCAACTGTACACACAAATCAATCCCGACATGCATTTTCTTCCCTTGCACAAAGGTTCCGTATATGCTTATTTAACCCATAACAATAAATTAAAATAAAAGCAAGAAACTATCACTCATTCCATACCTGGGATCATTAATAACTTTTACTAGGGCTTCATACAATTCGCTCTCAGTGATGGTCTTCCAGTTCAACAGTATTCCCATGCCTTTGGCCTGCACACGAGTCATAGTATCGTAATGGTCTCCAAAAAGGGGAATCCCCACCACCGGGACCCCATGGTACATGGTTTCAAAAATGCTGTTCAAACCTCCATGACTAAGAAAAGCTTTAATGTTAGGGTGACCTGAAAACAGAAGAGGCATGAAGATTAAAAAAAAAACCATTTACATCTCCTTAATCTAAAGTTACTGAAGCAACTGGGTACAACACATTTGTCACCATGTTTCTGTGGCTGCAATTCAGGACGGCAAAAAAGGGAGGCAACCTGTTCTGAAGTTCTCCTCCTTAAACCTTACACACCAAGAGAGCAGGAACAGCCAATACAAAGAAAATTCTCACGTATACGAGTTGTGTAGAATTATAATGTAGTAACTACTGTACATTGTTTACTCCCGACTAGCTGCAGGTGGTGACTACAACCAGTTTAGCCGTACAAATGAGCCAGAGAGAAAGCGTTTTTCCTCATTATTCATATGAAATACAAGCTACTTAATGGCAGGACAACTGATGTGACATTCTCTCTAAAGCTTCACATGCCTTACTTCAGGCTAGCAAGATCTGACAATAATGGTAACAACCTTATGTAATGGAAAAATGATACTGCCTCAGAGCAGTTCAGTAACCAAAACAAATCTACCTGCTTTAAAAGTCATTTGCCTAATCGCTACATTATGATAAATACTCCAGCTGACATGCACACACAGACACACGCACACATGCCTAACGCATTCATCAGCGCCCATTGTAGCACTGGAGCTGTTTTACAAACACACAAACATCCAGGTAGCCCAGAGACAACCAGAAATATTCTGTGCCCTCCTCAGATCTGCAACATATTCAGCTACCCTTCGACAGGGAAAGAAGGGAAAAAAAATAAATACACAGACTCTAACATAGTCTTTTACCAAACGATGGAAGAATATCAAGTTTCCTCTCTGCACATGAGAACCTGCAGTACCTCAAGTTAGTTAAACAGAAAGGTTATATCAGCTTGCAACATGTGCCCAAGGTCTGTTAGAGTCTTCTTCAGAGAAAAATGAACAAACGTGTGTGTGTATATATATATACACACACACACACACAGAGCAGTATGTACAGATCCCTAAGACTTGTTTTGATGCAATGTAAACAAATTTTGTATGCTCAGTATTATGACTCTTCCATGAAAAGACCAGTGAACACCCTACCATGCTTTTTCATAACTGAGAAATTAACAGTTACAGTCATCAGTTCCCTCAAACAGCAGATTCAAGAAAATTCCTACTTATTTATCTTTAATAATTTTCTCAAACTACATAGCTTCCATGGTATAGAAGACACTTGTCAAAAAATTCTCCCATTTATTAGGCCAAAGAGCCTTTGGAATAACTATATCCTTTCACCCTATTAACTTAAGGAAAAAAAAAAAATGGGAGTTACTACCAGGGAAAGATAATTAACATCAGAAAGGTGTTTGATTTCATCATCTTGAAATTCTGACTTATTCTATACTCTTGTTCTATGACTTCCATTACAGAAATTATCCTAACTTTATAACGACTGCTAATTCAGTAGAATATTGTCAGAAGAGCAACCTGAACTCAAGTGAGAATAAGCAATAGATGATCAAAATAGATACTCACCAAGGAGATCGTTTTGTGGGAGCCATTCTATAAGCTTTGTATTGTTGCCCAAGTTCCTTGGTTTGTTTCCTGAAAACCTAAAACAATAAAATCAAATGGAAGCTGAGTTATCAAGACCTCCAAAATCAATAAACTCAAACCAGAGAATTGAACCAAATGATGCATGAGCCCTAAGCAGATTTCCAGTTACATCAGGGTACTGTTTACTCACTGTTACAAGAAAACAAAACAGGCTCAACCAAAATGCTGTAAATAGCTAATAGCTTCCAACTTCACATTTTCATCATTCAGTTTCCTTGTAATCTGGCTTGAAATGCAGTGTTTTCTACTAACATAATGGCAACATAGTTCCTTCTCAAAGCACACGTAATTCTTGCCACTGTGACTGGCAGGAGGTTTTACAAGCTCTCTATGGTTCTTAGTCCACTGCTTTACTGAAAACTCAGTACTCAGTGACTGGTACTAGATAAATAACTCCACCGAGAACATCCCACCAGCACACAGACAATAATCCCTACCATCAACACGAGGCGTTCCCTTTCAGTTGGCCAATTTCCTGTAGCTCTTGATAATCAACACCGTGTTATTTTAAAGGGAGTTACTAATACCAGGAAGAGAAAGGCTGACAGCTCAGCTAATGAGGCAAGAAACTATTCATGAAAAGTTGGGGATCAGACAGCGAGACAAGTGTATTTTTCTTACTTGCTCAACTGCCTGAAACCCAATGGCAACGTCTTGCTCACCTGAGGTTGCTAGAAAAGTTTAGCCCATAAAACACAGGCTCAAAATACAAACTGATATATACAGTTTATATAGAAAGTTCAATATATTCTAAACAGAAAAGAAAGTAGGGAAAAAATTACCAGTGACTACTAGAGGATAGAGCTCTTTTGTGAGAGCTCCATCAAACAACTTAAAAATATTCTGGTTATTAGAGAGCATTAGAACTGTAACTTCATGAAGAATCACCTACATATTCCCAATTAAGCAAGCCACACATCTTTACGACTGGCTTGTACATTCTGTTGAAAAAAGCCTACATTATTTACGCTAAGGTATATAAAAGCAAATCAACTATGTTAACTGGTTTTGGCTCCAACTACTACTCCATAATCAGAAGCGTATAAAGAACTACAAAGATTTGCTTGATTTGGCATGTGGCATAAGACTGCCAAGCAGTACTACCTTTCTCATTTTCAGAAATATCTAGTATAAAAACTACGTGTGTCCAACAGGCCATAGGTCAATGATCTGAAGAGGAGGAAAAAAAAAAACCCAAAACATATTAAAGTTGGAATCATAATTTCCTGTTTAGGTACTTAATTATGGATCTCAAATTCCCACCAGGGTGACTGAAATGCCACTTGCTCAGCGCTCCCAAAGACCGTGTCTTACACCTAGTCCCAGGAACATCTTCCCATTCCACAAATCACGATGGAAAGAAACAGCAGGTGGGTTCCCTTATCCAGAAAGGCATTCAACAGGTAACAGAATGCAGATAACAAAAACAGAACAAAACAAAAAACATACCAAAAAAGCATTGTTAAGGAAATACTAGCGAGGAAAATGAAAACTTTTAACAGAAGGCTTCAACTGAAATTGTTGCTTTTGCATTAAAAAAAGCTATCCCCAAGAAAAACCCATTAAAATTCATTTATTATCTACAGAAAGTGGATAATTCCTACAGAAAAACATTCCAGGGAAAACATGATGAAAGGATAAAACAAAAGAAAAGCAGTAAGATCAACTGGGAGTAACCATTAGTTACAAGCCAAGCAGTGTTGCAAGCTTCATCAGGAACAAATACAGTCGCTCTACCCCAAACAAAAACTGATGAGATCTTTACTACAACTACTGAAAGTTCTGTGCCATAGCCTGAAGAATTTCCATTTTCCTGTTCATTAGTGGGGTTCACTATTTCAAGTACACATAGCAGTGAAAATGGTCCCTTAGATATGGCGGGGATCAGGCCGCTAAATAGACCTCTAATACAACTCCAAAAGTGCAGCAAGGACAGCAGTCACGAATTGTAAGACGCCGATTATTTGGAAACCGATAGTTCACATGAACTCCTCTCAATTATATTCCAGAGCGACGCTCCACGTGAAGCAGAGCTGACTAAACAGTTCTTGGATTTTTACAGTAAGTTGAGAGCACCACTCAAAATGTTTTTAGAGCTGAGAAAACATATTACTGATTTTTACTCCTGCAGATTTTTCTTCCTCCAAACTCTCACAGAAAAAGACAAGTGAGAAGAGCAATTATGAAAGTCTGTGTTTACAGATAAAAGAGGAGAAGGGGCCCCAAAAACCAAGGAAAAATAAGAGAAAGAAGAAAGAACAACTACGATTAAATCAGCAGAATATCATTCTTGGTCCCTAGGGTGGCTTCTTTGTCAGAAATGATGACAGTATGTCACAAATGTCATAACCTCAGACTCTCTTTTCACTGTCCGCAATCCTTCCAGGATATAAACTCAGCATACAAGTATAACCTATGTCTTATTCTGCCACAAAATCATTGTTCCTCCTTATTACCAGGGGACTGCAACATTTCCACAAAGAGAGCCTTTCAAAACAGTCAGGTCCTCTGTGCCACCCAGACTGTCTCAATTTCAGCTTCTGCAACTCTAGATCAAGATGGCACAATAGGAAATCAGCGTGCTTCAAGTACATCTATCATTGCACTTACCTCCAAATAACTCTCTGAGGCAGTCTTGCCAGAGCATGTGCCAACTTATTTGCTATATCTTCTGACAGGTATTTCACTCCAGCTCCAAATGAGACGAGGACAAAGCCATTTTCATTAGCACCATTCACCCACGTTTGGAGATCCTGTTAAAGTGAAAATTTATACTGAGCACTGTAGAAGCACAAGTAAACCACAGAAACAGATTAAATAAGCATTGCTTAGCAAGAACAGTTGTTGGTCCCTATGTTACTTCACAAGCCAACTTTCAAAAGTCATAAACATTTCAGAAATCACCGAGTACAACGACACGATGATTCAGAATCCACAGTACAGGACACGAACAGCAAAATTCTTCCTGGTTTGTTTTAGTTTCCGTATTAACAACCGGTTTCATGAGATAATTTGTCCTTTCTTAACTGATCAGTTGACACACATTCACAAGTTAACACATGACATTTTAAGTCAGCAAAGTATAAATAGATCTACCTCATAGTTTCAGCCAGGAAGTACAGCACAGGAAATGCATGAATGAAGTCTGGGACTTAACCGTGTGATTTTTAGCCTTAAAGATAGCGACAGTACTTCAAAAGGCTTGGTTTTCTTTCATTTATATGAAAAGAATAAACACAACTTGAAATAAGCCAGAGCTTCAAAAAACACCTTCAGCTTCCACTGCTCCAATATTTCAAGAAGCAAGGAACAGTACCGCATCTGTATGGCAAGTAAGGGCGGACATGCCTCTTTCTTGGACCTATGTACTTTATCTTACTTAGACCTACCTGTGTGCCTCTTCCCCGGCACGTTACCAGTATTATATTAAATATACACAAGTGTAACAAAGGCCAAAGCCCTTTACATCCATAAGCTCATCCTCCTCCCGTGGTTATTCTGAAATTGAGTCTCTTGCAATGCAATTTTGGCTGACCCTCTTGATTCAAGGGCTGCTTCAACTTAGGCAAGGAAGGCAACAACGCCGCAGGCAGAGGTCCTGCAGTGCTGCACCGCTCAGAAGCGCTCCGAAAGCAGAACCAATATCGCTCTCCTGGGGGTAACCCCACGGCCACGCCATGAGATTCAGGTTGGGAGGCAGCAGATTTTACATCAGGGCACTCTGCGATGCTTCTTCTGCAGAGGGTTCAAGCCCCTTTCTGCTGCACAGGGCTTTGGGGCTCGCACCGAGAGATGCTCAGCCCACACATGGTCACTGGTGGGTGCACCCTACGCACGACCACGGCTGGTCCGAGGTTTCATCGCACTGGACGCCGCAGCGCCTTGGGTCCAGACACAGGTCACTCCTTCGCCGCTGATGGGTTTGGGCGAGTCGCAGTTACGTTGCGAAGGAGACCACAGCATCCGAAGGTCGGGGCGGACTTGGTGGAAACGGGGTTTGTGTCACTGGCGACGAGGCAAGCCAGCAGACACCACTGCGGACCGCCACCGGGACAGCAGGGCTCTGCAGGGTCGGAGGAAAAACCACCCCAGCATACGAGAGAGCGCAGAGCTGCCACCTAAACAAGTCTCGGGCACAAGAACGATGCCATTTGGCTTCAGGGGGGAAAGAAAATGAGGGGAAAAAAATAAAAGCCTCAGTATACCCTTTGCTTTCGGAAACACAGATTTAAATTCTGTTTTTTCCAATGCAACTGTTGGCAGCGGGAACTAAAAAATTATACCACTGACATACAGATATGTCAGTCTGCCAAAAAATATCCTGTATTTCCCAGGATATGGTTTAATTCTGGTCTCACCGAATTTAAGCGTAAGCCTGCTCAATACTAGTACAGCAATAGGAAATGAGTAAAAAGAAAATTAAGAGCCCTGTTCACAATGCACCTCTTGTCCTGGCAATAAATAGCAGGCCAGACAGTAATAGAGTAATGCTGTGCTATCGTATCTGAGCACAAAAGCTACCACAAAAACCAGCAGGCATAATGAAGACCTGCACATTACACTGGGGGTTGTACGCCAGTCTCTGCTATGCAGTGAAAAAGCAATGTCCATGTTCTCTAGAATCCACAGTTTTTCATTTTTCTTCATCCTTTTCCAGTGCACTTTCTTCTTCATTTTTTTTCTACATCTGTGGAGAGAGGGAAGAAGGGAAAGGAGGGGAAGAGTCTGTGACCTGCCTCAGAGCTGAATCATTTATTACAGGCTGAACTTCTGACATGAAAATTTCCAAGTGGTTTTGTGATTTATTTGAAGTTTGTCCTTGAATTTTACTTAAGGACCTAAGGCATGCTGCAAATGCATATGCACAAATTTGCAAATGCAAATGCACAAATACAGGCTGGGCAGAGAATGGATTCAGAGCAGCCCTGCGGAGAAGGACTTGGGGGTGTGGGTTGACGAGAAGCTCAACATGACCCGGCAATGTGTGCTTCCAGCCCAAAAAGCCAACCGTATCCTGGGCTGCATCCAAAGAAGCGTGACCAGCAGGTCGAGGGAGGTGATTCTGCCCCTCTCCTCCGCTCTGGTGAGATCCCACCTGCAGTACTGCGTCCAGCTCTGGTGTCCTCAGCACAGGAAAGACATGGACCTGTTGGAGCGAGTCCAGGTGATGAGAGGGCTGGAGCACCTCTCCTATGAAGACAGGCTGAGACAGTTGGGGTTGTTCAGCCTGGAGAAGAGAAGGCTCTGGGGAGACCTTAGAGCAGCCTGCCAATACCCAAAGGGGGGGGCCTACAAGAAAGCCGGAGAGGGACTTTTTACAAGGGCATGTAGTGATAGGACAAGGGGTAATGGTTTTAAACCGAAAGAGGGTAGATTTAGAGCGGATTTATGGAAGAAGTTCTTCACTGTGAGGGTGGTGAGGCACTGGGACAGGTTGCCCAGAGAGGTTGTGGATGCCCCATCCCTGGCAGTGTTCAAGGCCAGGTTGGATGGGGCTTTGAGCAACCTCGTCGAGGGGAAGGGGTCCCTGGCAGGGGGGTTGGAACTAGGTGATATTTAAGGTCCCTTCCAACCCAAACCATTCCATGATTCTATAATTCTAGTCACTTTTACTCAGTGGTTCAACTAGTCACACCTTGAGCTATTGCCTATCTGTTGCTTAAAGCTAAACAGAAAATAACCTTTTGTGGGCTCTAGGACAAACCATTCTGAAAAGCAATCAAGTACCACGCTGTAAAAGACAGCTCTCTGCCCAATTGTGACATTCGATCAAGTTATATTTTGAGAGCTGAAGTCACCTGTTACAAGGTGGTTTTATTCCAAGAACTGAAGAAGCCCAACATTCACAGGCTCTGGTCTTCATAGGGCACTCACCCACCCTGATACCTGCTGGAAGGGCAGAAACCTGGAGGTTTCTGGAGTGCCTTCTTGATGACAACTCCATGACAAAGGTGCTCAAGAAGCCAGCAAGAGGAGACACTCTGCTGGACCTCATACATACAAGCAAGGAAGACGTTGTCTGGGATACAGAGGTCAGGGGCAGCCTTCGCTGCAGCGACCATGAGATGGAGGACTTCAGGATACTGAGAGAACAAGACAACAGCAGCATCTCCTGGACTTCAAGAGAACCAACTCTGGCCTCTTCAGAGACCTGCTTAGAAGAATCCCATGGGATACAGCCTTGGGGAGAAGAGGGGTTCAGGAAAGCTCGTTGATATTCAAGCATCACCTCCTCCAAGCTCAAGCATAGTCCATGCTGATGAGCAGGGTGTTAATCAAAGGTGGCAGGAGGATGAACAAAGGACTCCTGGCAAGACTCAGATGTAAAAAGGCAGCATACATGAGGTAGAAACAGGGATGGGTGGCCTGGGGGGAATATACAGGCACTGCCTGAGGTTGCAGGGATCTGGTTTGGAGAGCAAAAGTCCACTTGCAGCTGAATCTGGTGAGGGACACGAAGGGCAGCAAGGTACATGGAGCAGCAAAAGGAAGACCGGGGTAAGCATGGGCCCACTGCTGAATAGGACAAGGGACCCGGTGACAAAAATATATGGTAAAGGCTGAGGTACTTCATGCTTTCTTCATCTCAGCCTTTATTGATAAGGCTGACCTTCAGCAATCCCAGGTCCCTCAAACCAGAGGGACAGTCTGGAACAAGGAAGACGTACCCTCAGTGGAAGATCAGGCTAGGCTACTTCTGAACAAAATGGATGTACACAAGTATATGGGACCTGATAGGATGCACCCAGAAGTGCCAGTAGGCAACCGGGAGCTGGCCAACATCACTCCAAGGCCACTCTTGATTATCTTTGAAAGGTCAGGGTAATTGGAGGAGAATCCTGTGGACTGGGAGGGAAAAAAGAAAAAAAAAAAGAAAAAAAGGCAAGTGTCACTTGCATTTTCATGAAGGAGGATCCAGAGAATGGACTGCTCAGCCTCATCTTGATCCCTGGAAGGTGATGGAGCAAATAATCCTGGAGGTCATTTCCAAACATATTAAGGACAACATGAATGGAGCAGTCAGCATGGATTTATGGAGGGAAAATCAGCTTGATCAACCTGATAGCCTTCTACAGTGAAAAAAATGGCTCCGTGAATGAGGTGAGAGCAGTGGATGTTATTTACCCTGACCTGAGTAAGGCTTTCAGCACTGCCTCCCACCACAGCCTCCCAGACAAACTGATGAGGTACTGCCTACACAAATGGACAGTGAGGTGGCACTGAAAATTGGCTAAACCGCAGGGCCCAAACGGTTGTGATCAGTGGCATGCAGTCCAGCTGGAGGCATGTTTGTTTTTTAATAAGGACAAAAACAGGATAGCTGGCACTACTGCTCAAATATTTCTCACTTCACCATTGGGAAGCCCTACCTGGGACTACTTATGCTTGGTCAGACACGTGGTTTCTGCTGCTAGAGATCAGTCTGCTCTAGCTGAGGAACAGCTCCCAAGGCTACTGCTCCTCTGTGCTTAATTAGAAATTCCGTGAGACTTCACAACTCTGTGATCTATTCACATAATAAGAATTATACGTCGTTATGTAAACACAGAGGAGGTATAAAATATTTCCTTATAATGGAATTCCTAAAATAGCATTCAAAAAACCCCATGTATAACAACAAATAGCTATTAAGTACTTAGAATTTTATGTAGAGGAGAAAAAAAAAAAGGAACTACACTGTGTACTCTGGAATTAGAGTCACCCTACAAACAGGCTTTTGCATTTTATTATTGTGCAATAGCAAAGTAACCTG